TGGCAAGAAACTGGCACTGTGTTTATGACTGGAAGAGTTTGGGAGTTACCCTGAACCAGTTCATACCATTGATTTCTTTGCATCAGCCTGCTGCAGTGGGTAGATAAAACAGAGCTGCACCCTCTGCATAAACTGTGTTTAGATACATAAATCCCTGCAAAGTGGCTTTTTATTTTGAGGCAAAACCAGAAAGAATTATACACTGCATTAAATATTTCCTTCTCTTTGTCCCCTCCTCGACCGTCTGCAAGATCAATTAAAGTGCTTTTGCATAAAACAGGCAGAGAGGAGTGAGCTCCAAAAATAAATAAATAAATAAATAACGAAGCCACTCTTGCTTCCAATGCGATGCCTAAAGAAAACAAGCACAAGGACTTAAAGATTCCCAAAGTGAAAGAGAAGGAAATGGGGAAGGTTTAATCACACACTTACAAGGCAGCAAAATAGATTTCTCAAGTCTTAATATCTCTTGTGAAATTTTAAGTGCTCAGTAACATGCTGCAGCAGGCTGAGCCCTCACACGGGATATGTGTGTGACTCCCTCCCTTGCACTCACAAAGACACATTTGGTGTTTCCATCACTTTTCTACTTCCAAAGAGATCAAAATGAAACTATGAGCAATCATGCTGGGGCTTAACAAGTTCCTTTACGGAGGTCTTGCTGTCCTGCAGCTCAGCAGCCTCTGGCCAGCTACACTGCAACCTCTGGAAGCATCAGCACAACTTCCCTGCACACTGACCAGGAACGAGACTCATGGCCACAGCCACAGAGAGACAACCCCGAGTTCAACTGGTCTCCCAGTTACCAACTGGAATGATGACTGAGAAAAAGGGAGGGAGATCATCCCACTAGGAAAACTCAAGATCTACTGTCTTCTCCCTGAGACTGCTCTTTGTTATGTCTTCACAGGGCAAGGGAGGAACTGTTCCCATCAAAATCCCATATCTTAGTTTCAAAGGAAGACATTTTTTTACAATGAAGTTGGTGAATCCCTGGACCAGGTTGCCCAGAGAGTTGGTAGATGCCCCATCCCTGGAAATATTCAAGGTCAGGTTGGATGCACTCCAGAGCAACCTCATCTAATGGAAGGTGTCCCTGCCTATGGCAGGGGCTTGGACTACATGACCCTTAAAGGTCCCTTCCAGCCCAAACCGTTGTATGATTCTATGATCCCACCAGGCCCCAGAGACTTGTGTGTGTGTCAGTGGTGTAGCAGGTCACTGACCATTTCCCCTTGGATTAGGGGACCTTCCTTTGGTTCCCCATCCCTGACTTCTGATTCACGGCCTGGGTACCCCAAGAACAACTTGGTCTTACTATTAAATACCAAGGCAAAGGAGGCATTAAGTACCTCAGTCTTTTCACTGAGTTACTCCCCACAGCCAATAAAGGATGAAGATTCTCCTTCACCCTCCTTTTGTTGCTGATGTATTTATAGAAACATTTTTTATTGTCCTTTATGGCAGTAGCCAGATTAACTTCTAGTTGGGCTTTGGCCTTTCTAATTTTCTCCCTGCATATCCTCACAATATCCTTGTAGATATCCTGAGCTGCCTCCTCTTCTTACAAAGGTCATAAACTCTCCCTTTGTCCTTTAATTCCACCCAAAACTCTCTGTTAAAGTAGGCTGGTCTTCTTTTTTGCCAGCTTGTCTTTTGGTACACAGGGGTGTCCTGCTCCTGGACCCTTAAGATTTCCTTCTCAAAGCACATCCAGCCTTCCTACACTCCTTTGCCCTCAGGACTGCCTCCCAAGGGACTGTCTCAACCAGTCTCCTAAAGAGACCAAAGACTGCCCTCCAGAAGTCCAAGTTAAGTTCTGAGACACCCTTACTTGTCCAAGAACCAAAAACTCTTATTTTGCAATCACTATGCCCCAAACGACCTCTGACCATCACATCACCCACAAGTCCTTCCCTGTTCCCAAAAAACAGATCCAGTGGGTGCTTTCCCTTGCTGGCTCCCTCAGCTGAGCTATGGAATTCTCTTCCACACATTCCAGGAACCTCCTGCCCTGTTTCCTCTCTTCTGTATTGTATTTCCAGCAAACATCTGGTCAGTTGAAGTCCCCCATGAGAACAAAGGCCAGCGATCACGAGGCTTCTCCCAGCTACTTATAGAATAATTCATCCATCTCTTCATCCTGGTTGGGTGCTCTATAACAAAATCCCAAGATATCTGCCTTGTTGGCCTTTCTCTTGATTCTGATCCATAAACACTCAGCCCTTCTGTCAACATCAAGCTCCAGATGACGAAAACACTCCCTAACACACAGGGTTACCCCACCAGCTTTCCTTCTTTCCCTGTCCCCTCTGAAGGTTCATCACTCCAGTTGCACTTGTCATCCCACTGTTTCTGTGATGACAAATATGTCACAGATTTCCAGCTCCTCCTGTTTGCTGCCCGTGCTGTGGGCATTGGTGTAGTTGGGCTATTGATCCCACTGCTTTGGGGGGAAGAAACCCTAATTCCTACATGACCACTTTCAGGCTTTTCCACAGTTTCTAACACATTAGCATCCTCGGTGTGCTTGGATCTCCACATGGATATCCATCTCCTACCTGCACTTGGCAGAACAAAGGACGTCTCTAGCCCACCATCCCTCCAACACTGGCATTCCACCTCCAGGCTTATCTCCAGCAAGCCTGATTTTATCCCTTTTCCCCTTCAAATCTAATTTAAATCTCTTTCCATGAGCCCTGATAACTCCCATGCAAAGATCCTTGTTCCCTTCGAGACTGGTGTACCCTACATGTCACCAGAAGACCTGGTGTGGTGTAAATGACCCATGATCAAAAACCCAAAAATTCTGCTGGCAACACCAGACTAGGAGCAAGGAATTGATATCCTGGCTTTTCCTGGTTTTCCCCTCATCATTCCCTGCATCTGGGAGGACAGAGGAGAACACAACTTGTGTTCCTGATCCCTTAACCAGTCAACCTCACACCGAAACACAAAAGAAATGAAAGAAGAGAGAAATCACTGCCCTACGAAATTGAAACAGGAGGAAAATAACTTCCAATAATAAAATAAATTAAAAAAAAAAAAACAAAATAAAACAAAAGAAGGAAAACCAAACACCCAAGAAATGAAAACAAAAGCTAAGAGGTGAATAATTCATTTAGGCAATATGCAGTGCCCATACTCTACCTGAATTGTTTACATTGAAGGTTCATGGTTTAATCAGAACAGCCATAAAAAGAAAAGCCAGAGCCATAAGTACAACATTTATCTTGAGTAAACGAAATAGGTTTCTCAGTGAGGCATTTTCATTTAAAATAGAAAAAAAAAAATAGACTGCAGTTTGTCGAGAGACCAGCAAGGGGAGTCGGTGCCTGCGGCTTTGAGTCAACCACGCAGATGCAGTTTTGGGTGGAGAAAACTCAAATAAACAATTCTGAGGTAGTGGCATCAAAAAAACATTGAAGACTGGCAGAAGATACCAGAGGATGATGGACAGAGAGCAGCAAACCCACTAACCTGGAAAAGAGAGACGGCTTGAGACATACTAGAATAGAAAAGAAAAATGATGTTTTGCTTGGAAATTGAATTTTCCTCTCCCTGCAATATTTAATGGAAAGCACATGCTGGAGAGAACTTGGAGGGAAAAAGGTAAAGAACACATGGAATCAAGTCAGGATGGAGCTTGAGATGAAAAAATAAGGGTTAAATGTCAATGTATTTCTGAGTACAATATTCTGATAGCAACATGTTTGTCAGAAAAGACTTGGGCCAATTCCTCTGGTGGCCTTGAGGAGACACCTCGGAGGGCACCAGATGTCTGGGAAAAGAATTCAGAAGGCAAGGCCTTATCACTGAGCCCCAGCACTAGTAACAAATAGGGGGAAAAAAGCCACAAATAAAGATGTATTTTCAAAATAATAGCTCAAATCCGCTTGCAAGGAGTGGGATTTAATAACATTATACAGCATTTAAAGAAAAATGCCAGCAGTAGGAACTCATTAAGCCCTGTATGGGGAACAGCAGCAAAAGCACTGCTGCATCCACAGCCATGCTGGGCTTGTCAACAGAAACGGGGCCACCACGAGCTCTGGGGCCACAGGGAGGTGCAGTCAAGGCTTATGTTCCTCTTTCCTGTTAATCTCATTAACCTCATATTTACTCTGTTGTTGGTAATTACTCAGAACATTAATAGGCATCATTTATGCATATTATTTACTGAATATTACAAATCTCTTTAGCTGTGTCTATGAAACGGGGCTGGAACACGCCAGTGCTCCACAGGCTGTGGAAATCGAGGTAGAAAAATTAAAAAAAAAAAATTAAAAAAAAAACTTCTTAGGGACTTGTTTCCAAGATTTCTTCAATAAATAAAGATAAATAATTGATTCAGATAAATATATAAAACCCTTTGTGTTTTCAAATTCTAGAATAACATTCTAAAAGGAGGAACAGACACTAAGCCAAAAAATACCCAAGGAAAGACTTATTTCCTCCTATTAAGCTGGAGGACACGAAACAACTATTCTTGGCACGATACAAATGACCCTTAACGATATTCCAGGTGAGAAAAACAGATGCAGCTTAGGAAAACTATTTCTGCTGTTAAAGAACTCCATAGGTTTTCCAGACACAGTCTGTTACACCTTGAAAAATGGGACTTTCACTGACCATCTGTTCCCAGCAGAGAACACTCAGGAATGCTCTGGCCAGAAAACCCAACTCAAAGTCAACACACCGTGAGCGTGGGACATCTCAGAGCTTAATGACCAGCCAAGGTCAGGACCCAGGGGAAGAATTTGGGTGGAGACGACCCCTTATTAACCTGTCAAAACAAGGAAACACCATCCAGAGGCGAACACCTGCCAGCGCCGAGCCCACAACGTTCCTACACACCCACCCCAGAGGTTGGGTCTACAACACTCAACATCACATCCAATGAGATGAAGAGATACGGAGACAAACAATCAAAATCAAATTTTAAAAAGCCCTGAAACGAGAAAGGTTATCAAGGAAAGAAAACAGCAAATATCTCTCACCCGTAATTTTACTCCCTTGTGTTGTGGAGCCGCTCGTTCAGCACTGGGCAGCAAAAACCCAACAGAGCCAAGGCCCAGCTCAGCAGTGTTGTCTCTGTTCAGGTAAAAAGAGTAAAAAAAAAAGAAAATCAGAAGTGAAAAGCACACACAGGCCTTTGTCTGTTCTGTTTCCTCCAGTCTGAAGCTCAGGGATTCCCAAGACTGAGGTTTAATCTTTAGATTCAACTGCCTTTGGGAGTTTTCACACCTCATGAATTTGTTAAAGAAACATATACATATATTAGGCAAGCTTTGCTTTTGGCCTACACAATGTCTGTTGACAATGTAACACATGCAGAGAAAAAGAAAACAAAAACACCCCACCTCTTCCTTTTAATTTCAGGGTGCAAACATTAGGGGATACCCAGTGAAACACAGCAAGTAATTTTAATTTTCTGCAATTCATGATTTCACATCATTGTCATTTCCCCCTGCTTTGTGTTCTCATATTTTATATTCCGTATTAGGCAGTTAAAAGGATCTGTCAGCATTTTTCCTACATTTCCTACAAAAAGAAAGGCTGTGCATCTAAAGGGATTGCTAAGACGGAATCACACAACTGGGACAACCAAGTGGACCCAACACTGGACTTTTCAACATTCCCAGGGATGGTGATTCCACCTGGGTAACCTGTTCCAATGCTTGACCACCCTTTCCATGAATAAATTTTTCTCATATCCAACCTAAACCTCCCCTGGTGCAACTTGAGGCCGTTTCCTCTCCTCAGGAACAGCATCCATAAGGATCCAATACCTCAGATAACTCTGGAGACTCTAATGATATAATAAACCCATTTCCCACACACACTTTCATCACCCTTTTTTTTTTTTATTGGTCCAAATTTGGAACCTAATGTTTCAGAAGGAATTTAAGATGCTTTTAATGTAGTTTATTATGCTTTAATAAAAAAATAAAATAGAAAAGAAGAAAAAGAATGGCTTAGGCAACTCAGGTAGAGGCACTTTTACACTGTGTAAAGTTAGGAAATAAAAGTATTATTACAGACAATTATTCCTCAAAGAAAGTGTTTTAATCAAACTGCTGATATTTTTGGCTTGTTATAAGCAGGAGGAGCATCACCACACAAGACTCAGCCTCCCAGACTAATGATCAAAGCTTTCTAATCCCTCCTTGTGATGGGATGCTGGAGAAAGTTAAATTACATGGGATGACACTGGGGCTGGAGAGAGCAGCAAAAGAAGGAGCTCCTGCCCTGAGCTTTCATACCCTGAGAAAAACCACCCAATTACCCTTTCCACCTCTTTGATGAACACAACCTATTTCAACACCCTCAAAAGCTAAGGGCAGAAGCTCCAACACATGGGGAAAAATAATTATTAAGAGCCTTTAAGTTAAAGTACAGCACCCGGCGCCGGCTTTCAAAGACGGGGTAAATAAGTAAGACCTTTAAATTTTAAGATGTTGCTCAGCAACACCTTCTCCTACTACATCACACACATCCCTTCTTCCTCATTATTTCTCTGGCCAAAGGTCAAAATTCCCCTTCCCAAGAGATAAACTTTGCTCTAGAGAGAGTGATGAAACTCCCACATCCAGCTAACTCAGGAGCAATCCACATCTCCATCCTGGAGACCTTCCAAACATCCAGACACGGTGTGATTTCTCAGGGAGGCAGCTTTCCCTCTCTGTAATCACATATAAAGAGTGTGCACCATCACCACAGAGAGGGAGGGCTCCTTGTACAAATCCTATTCCACCTGGAAATGTTCAAGGCCAGGTCGGACGGGGCTTGGAACAGCCTGAGAGAGTGGAAGGTGTCCCTGGTGGAACAAGAAGAACTTTAAGGTTCCTTCCAACCCAAACCATTTCAGGATTCCATGATCTAAAGATATGAAGGACCAATCTACTGGGTGACATCTACATATTGGCAGCTCAACAAAGTCTATGTATTGACATCCAACAGTCTTGGGAGGGTTTTTTTCTGGGTTTTGTGGATGCATTTTGGTTTTCTTTTGGAAATCAATTAGAGAAATGTAAAAGCAGGAGATATATCAACCTGCTCTAGTGTAAGAGTGCTCAGTCCCCTTGCCTGATGAGTGTCACATCTCAGCATGTTCTGAGGTCCCAGAACAGCACAAGCAGCAGAGGATCATAGAATCACATAATCCTAGAGTGGCCTGGGTTAGAAGGGAACTTAAAGTTCATCTTGTTCCATGGACAGGGACACCTTCCACTAGACCAGGTTGCTCAGAGCTCCAGCCCTCCAGCCCTGCCATCACCTACGTGGGAAAGTCACTCCTTGACCCCCTGTATTGCTTCCTGTGTTCTACCAAGTTCCCAGAATTCATCAAAGGAGCAAAATTCAGCAAGTTATGTAGAGCAATGCTGGGAGCTGCAGTTAACTCTTTTAATCAGATGGATTATTCCTTCCATTTGTAAAAAAATCCCAACCAAAAGTAATACTCGGGTGATCCATTGCAATTTAAGCTGGGGTGTGTGGGGGGGGAGAGGAAATTTGATTTGTCTCAAGTGATCTCACCTGGAGCACTCCTGCTCCAAATGAGAACAGCATTATTTTTCCAGCACACAGAGTCCAGCACTGAAATCTCAGGTTGTTCATGGCTCCTAAGGGAAGAGTTTCTATCACCCTCATGTAGCCTTGGGTCAAGTGTTTTTAAACTGCCTGTACAAGCAAAAAAATCAGTAATCATTTACATTTTTCAGAACAAGCTAAGCCATGAAACAGCCCATCCTGCCACATGAGGATTCAGGTCCTTAAGAAGAGAAACCTGGTTGTCCAGCATTCCAGAAATATCCATATTATGCCCATCTTCCAGAGCACACCTGGGAGGATGAAAACCTATACTGAAATGATCAACACGTGCTACGTCGTGCCCATGACTTCTCACTGCCCCATCTTCTCCTTATCCTCCCATCACGTCCATCCCACAGATCTGTTTCCCTCTCCAACCCTTTCTCTGGTGGTTTCTCCACAGCAGGATCTCTCCTCCGTGTCCCTCTCGGCATTCTCCACCCAGAAATGCAAGAGGGACACAATCCTTGGCTGGCACCTGCAGAAACAACTCCTTTCCAGGGAGGAATTCATGACAGCTCTGCCCACTTGCAGGTTTTAGGGTTTTAGGGGTTTTTTTAAGCCCTGGTGGATATAACTCACATGATGTCAGTACAGGAATATCACACTAAAAAGCTGGAAAGTAAGGGGCGGGTTTTCCTCGTTTCTATGGTTATGAGCAATTTTAATGACCAACCTAAATAAAAAGGCTGGAAGAGAGAGAAAGTAGGAAGGAGTGAGGTGGGCGTTTAATTTTGATTGACAAGACAGAGCAGAACTAGTTAAGATCTGTCAAATGCCTGCTGAGGATCACAAATCCTCAGCACACTGTACAGCAGACAGAATTAGTCTAAATGCATAGCTTTACAAAAATACTTCTTACCTGGTGAGATCAGAGTTCATCATTTCAGCCTCCCCACACAAAGCAGCTGATGTCATAACCAGCAAAGGAGACAAGGTAGGGCCAGAAAAAATATGTGGGTTTTTTATTATTTTTTCTTATTTGTGAGATTTTTAAATGCTAACAGGCCGCAATGTCTTAACTTTTGTCCCTGGACACCATATACATACATACAAACATATATATATATATATATATATATATATATATATAAAAATAGATAATGACATCATTCTCAAGACTGTTAACTACCAAAACAACAATTTTAAAGGTATTATCAAAGGCATCACTTTGGAATCACATCTGCATCCCATTAAATGCTGTATAAACACAGAGTAAGGAGATAATTCCTGAGTTAAAGAATTTAAAATAGGAGATTGAGTGCAGAAAATGTTGAATGTAGATTAGATGGGAAATATTTGGAAAGACAGAAACAGTGGTATGACAGTCAGCTGTGAGGTTCCCTGAAGATATACCACCAAAGAACAAGGAAAATTAGGAGCATCCCTACAAATGTTCGTGGGTGAGAGCCTCAAGAGGGAAGAATGGAGGGATGGAGACTTGGAGCACTTCAAGGTCAAGAACTGAGTTTCATGATGCCAGAGGGAAGAATCAAGATCCCAACGAAGCACAAGGCAGCACGAGAAGGGCTCTGGAAGAACCAGCAACTTGGATTTAGTGCCAGAGAGGTGCAGGAAGCAGCAAAGGACAGACAAAGAGGATCCAAGATATGCCTGAACCAAACTAGGAAGATGTTTTTCTTTTACTCCCTCAGCTCTGGTGAGATCCAAGAGGGACACACTGATCTTCACAGGGCTACACACTCATGAGCTCTGTTATTTTATCAACTGCTGTTTGACTTTTAAGGAGGGAATAACCAGGCGAGGGAGGATGGGGATACAAAGGAGGGAAGTCAACAGCTCCTGAGATTCCTGCCAACAGGATCTGCACTTAAAGCATGCAGTTTTGGCAGAGAACATCCTCAAAATTTGATATTTAAAAGTCTTTTGGTGTTGGAATGTACAATTAAAGGATACAAGTGAATTAAGATCTGATCAACACAAACTTGTATCGAAGTCAGAATGTGTTCCCACAAAGTCTCAGCCACCTGCTTCTTCCATGCTCCATTGAAAGAATGAAAAATTAGCTGCTAACTACTTTTATTTCCACTCAAAATCATCCCTCTCCAGCCTCCAAAAGGTACAAATTTGTAACAACATCCAAGAGCTAAAAAAAACCCAAACAAACTCCAAAACTCACAAGAAGTTGTACCATGACAATAAAACGACAACAACAAAAAAGGAATTTATATTTTACTGATTTCTTATTTCAAGGTCTCCAACAGCCAACATGTCCATACCAACATGAAAAGTCAAAGCAGCACAGAATCATCTGGCACGATCTCATTTTTTCTCAGATAATGCCTCAAAACCTCCCAAACCATCTCTGCAGCCACCAGAGCCACCTCTTCCTTGGAAAGCACCCAGGAACCACTTGCAAATAAAATCCAACTGAATTTATTGCTCCTGCAACCCTGGAAATTTAAGCTACAGAGGTGACGTGACATTTTGTTTCGCCAATGCTAATCTAATACCTTTTTAAAGGTGCACACGTTTCACCC